TTTCCTCGCTTGACCTAAGTGGCTCTATCAGAAACGTGCCCTAGAAACAGAAGCAGCCACTGTCACCACGCGCGCTCTCTCTCTCTCTCTGGGAAATGGGAGCTCAGTTCCACGCAGAGACAACCACCCACGGGGGTCCCGGAGGAGAGAGGAAGGTCTCCCTCGAAACAATGTGACCCCCTCCCCTCAGTGACTCCCCTCCAAGACCAGGGCTCCCCAGCATCTAGGAAAATCATTCCCAGCAGCTGCAGAGCAGCTTCTGCACATGTGGCAGAGGCCAACAGGACGGGAGGCTGCAAGAGCAGCTCAGCACAGAGCATCGGAATCCCAGATCGAGAGAAGTAAATTTCTATCTGGTTCCCAGCCTGCCTGCTGGGCCGCCCTGCGTGACTCTCGGCTGTGCCCGCTGGGCAGGGGTCTGTCTGGGCGCGTTTCCTCATCTACCACCACACTCTCTGCCCAGAGGCTGCACGCCGGGCAAACGGCAGAACGCAGCGAGTAGCTCTCACCACCGGACAGACCGACCAGCAAGAGCTCACTGTCTCTCTCAGGTCACTCTAACCATGGCTACCATTTTCGGGCACTCACCATGTTCCAGAAACTGTTCTGAGCACTCTGTACATGTGAGCAAATTTCATCTTAACCATAACCTTCCATCTTTATCATCCACATATACAAAGGGGAAACTGAGCCACCAATTATAACTCAGCTTGGAAGAGGACAAGCCAGAACCAGGGAGTCTGGCTCTAGAAACCAGGTTTTTTTAAACCCCTATGCCATCCTGACCATCAAAGGGAAGAGAAAGGTAGGCGTGACGGTTCAGGTCCACCTAAAAGAGGTGCCTACAAGCGGGGTGCAATGGTGTGTGCCTGTAGTCCTAGATGCTCGTGGGCCCATGGGGAGAGACCACTTGAGGCCAGGAGGATGCACTGCACTACGGCTGTGCCTGTGAAGAGCCACTGCACTCCAGTCTGACAACTGAGCAAGACCCCATCTCAAAACAAACAAACAAAAAAAAACAAATAGGAGGAAGAACCTCCACTGACAGAGCAACAAAACAAGTAAGAAAGTACAAGGTCCTGACAAGGGCTACGAACAAAATCAGAGTGATCAAGGAACCTTCTGGATGCTGGAAATGTTCAATTATCTTGATCTGGGTCATGGTCCCAGGAGTGCATACGTGTGTTAAAGTGCATCCAGCTGTACGCTGCAGATCAGGTAAAAATGTACCAGAAAATCGCAAATAAATGAAGGATGGTGGGAGCCAGCTTTCTTACTGGTGGGGTGGGAGGTCAGGTAAGCAAGGAGAGAAGTCTAGAACGATCCATGCGATAAAGGATAAGAGCTGGAGACAAGTGCATAAACTCGTGCTGAGCTAATTGAGACACATGTGGAAATGCTCACAGATAAGCACACGAGCATACACGTTCCCTTGCTCTGTCGACTGAGAGAACCTAGAACCAAACACACCCCAGTAGCGATGAGCACACCTAGTGCCCAGATCTTGGATTCTAATACATTCTGCAACAAGAGAAACCAGAGTCGCTGGAGAAATGGCTGATTCTAGGACCAAGGCAGAACTCATAAAGGATGAGCCTGGGACATCTTACAGTGCCAGAAAGAAGAATGTGCTCAGCAAGTAAAGAAACAAACAAACCCCACAGTGATGGGGACTGTCAGGGGACACAATGGCCGATGGGAAGAGCTGGCAGTATTGGATCATAACTGCCCTCGAGTCCAGCAGAGACAAATGCCCCGTACAGAAGAATTCCAAACAATGTACGTGGGTACTCTGCCCTCCAGGGGGTGGAGCACAACCCCTCACTCCTTACATGTGGCGTGGGCCTCGCACCGTGACGTCCTTCCAAAGAGCATAGTACGGTGATGTCCAAGGGCAGGAGAAAAAACAATTCTTAAAAAACAAGGAATATACTGGGCGCAGTGGCTCACGCCTGTAATCCTAGCTCTCTGGAAGGCCGAGGCGGGTGGATTGCTCAAGGTCAGGAGTTTGAAACCAGCCTGAACAAGAGCGAGACCCCGTCTCTACTATAAATAGAAAGAAATTAATTGGCCAACTAATATACATAGAAAAAATTAGCTGGGCATGGTGGCGCATGCCTGTAGTCCCAGCTACTCGGGAGGCTGAGGCAGGAGGATTGCTTGAGCCCAGGAGTTTGAGGTTGCTGTGAGCTAGGCTGACGCCAGGGCACTCACTCTAGCCTGGGCAACAAAGTGAGACTCTATCTCCAAAAAAAATTTTTTCTTAAAAATCAACATCAGCAGGGACAGAGCCCACATGCCTTTGATACGATGAAATGAAAATAACAATTTACCTCTGTGGTCTTCCACCCCAAAGCCCATCACACCACACAGTCTCATCGTGAGAAATACATCAAACAAATCCCAACTGCGACACTCTACAAAACACCTGGCCAGTGCTCCCCAGAAACTGTCAAGGTCATCAGAAACAAGAAGAGTCTGAGAAACTATCACAGTCGAGAGGAGCCTAAGTAGACACGACAACTAAACGTAAGGTGATATCCTAGTGGAAAAGGCAAGGAAATCTGCATGAAGTACAGTGGTATCAATAACACACCCCTATCGATTACTTAACCATGAGAAATGTGCCATACGAATGCAGGATGGCAGTAACAGGGGACGCTGACACGGGACTCTCAGCACTATCTTCACAACTTTGCTGAAAATCTGAAACAACCCCAAAAGGTTGTTTTTAAAAACACAGTAAAAAAATGATGGAATGACTCCTTCAGACCAGGTGGCCACCAAAAGCCTGTCTGAGGAGACAACGCCTGAGCCGAGCTGAGCAACGAGAACAGGCAGCCGGCCCTAGGGCAAAGGACGCGCGGGGACTCCGAGGAGGAACAGAGGCGGCGGCCAAGCGGAGTCAGGGGAGAAGTGGGACAAGGTGAACCGAAGGTCTCAAAGGACACGGAGGTGAAGCGGGCGGGCCGGGGAGGCAGGCGGGCCAGAGTGACTTCAGACCTGAGCTTAGTTCAGGTCACTGGAAGGAGCTGGCAAAATGACACAGGGTCTGACCCACGCTTTGTAGGATCGCCCTGGCTGCTGTGGGCAGAGGACGGAAGTGGGGCAGATGAGAGAAGGGACGACGGTCACCCAGAGTGGTCGTGCTTCAGGCAGCAGAGAGGGCTGCCACCCGGTGAAGGGCTAGGAGCATGCAGAGGGCACAGAGGAAGATGAGGAGAGAGGTCTCCACGCACAGGTGTGGCTTGAGCAGGGCAGGGTGACCATCCCTGACTGACCCTTCTGGAAAAGTCTCCGCAACGGGGCTACGTGGCATCACAGGCATGTCCAGGAAGGAAGCAGCTCTCGGCGCAATCCTGCCACTCACTGCCCGTGAGACACAAGTTTCCTCATCTGCAAAGTGGGAAGGACGCCTACCCCGTAAGGGGATCAGAGTTCAGCAAGAGAAAGTTCCCGTAAGAGCACGAGCCTTCGTAAATACTGTCAGCAAGTGCTATTTTTACAAGCCAAAATGGAAGGAATCTTAGACAGAACCTAACCCAAGACCCCATTTCCCAGATAAGAAAACAGAGGGACAGAGACAGGGTGTCCAGGCCCCCAGAGGAGACTGAGTGGCAGAACGAGGACAAGACCCGCCCCTCCCGGCCCCCTCTCTCTGGGCTCTCTCATTCTCCATTCTGTCCCATTTCCTACTGGACCACAATCAATTCTGACCACATCAAGGGCCCAGGATGGCGGAGTGGCACATGCTTCTCTCATCATCCACGGTCTCAAAGCACCTCTGTGTGAAGGCACCTTCCTTGCTCAAAAGTCCCCCATGGCTCTCCTCACCATCTGGGTACTAGAACCTCCTGCCGTGAGGCAGGTTCAGCCCTCTGGCCCGCCCGCTCCACCCCCCTCCGGCTCCCCAGCCAGCTCCCCAGGCAGCCTGGCCTTCCCCTGAGTGTGCCTCCTCTCCAGCCCTGCCAGGGAGCAGTGGCGTCCAAGGTCACAGCCCTGATCATGTGACCCCCAGCTCTTGTCCCAAATGACACGCTGTCTTACAAAATCCCTCAAAACACTTTATGCTTCAGACGCCTTTAAGGAGGCGCTTTTTGCGACACTCTAGCTAGATCAGACCCTCCTTCCCGAGGGTCTGCAACCACCCCCTCTTCTAGCCTTTTCCTCCTTTCTCGCAACCCTGAGCGCTGGGCTGTGTGGGCAGAGCAGGCACTCACTGACTTGCTGGAGGAATAAAAACTCCTCGGCACAACATTAAGTTTGGAGATGAGCCTTTTCATCAACCAAAGATATGAAAAATACTCCAGTAGCTCATTTTTAAAAGCACCCTGAAGGCAAAAGTGAGCAACTGCTTCCTTTTGGGAAGCCTCATAAAATCTCTGTCACACAGACCAAATGCAAAGTACCAATCCCTCAACTAGAAAACTCCTACAGGCTTCTGAATAAAAACATAAACTGTGTTTGCTCTAATTTGCTAAATTTTGAAATAAATGCAAACACCGGCCCCAGGATTCCAGAAAGCCCTGCATTTCCTTGTTAGCTCTAACCCAAGACCACCGTTTTCCAATGAAATGGGCTGACTACATCCCACTTCTTCTATTTCATTCCAAAGAGGCCCGTTGTTACAATCAGAAAACCAGCAGCAGCTGGAGACTCCCGGTTGCTTCCAGAACATGCTTCATTTAAATTCTGACTCTTGAAAGTCACCCTGTGGAGAGGTAGCCAGCCCGCCCTCTGTCATGACACACCAGTAAAATTTACCGTCAGGACGATTGCCGACAAGTCAGTACACCTACACAGACACGCAAGGGAAAGAAAATCAAAAGGAGGAGATTTCTCCATAAATTAGGTTCATCCATCAAAGGTCCTACATGCAAAATCCGACGAGAGTTGCAGCGTCAGCTCAGAGAGCCACACTCCACTGCTCTACAACAACAAAAAAGAAATTCCAATTTCCTCCTTAGCTCTTCAATAGATGATACAAGATTGTTACTCACCTTTGGAGCGAGTAGAGATATCCATGCCCTCTACCACCTCCTGTTCTGTTTTTATTTCCTCTTCGGCCAAGCTGAAACAGAGCAAATTAATGTTCATGTTTAGGTAGGCTGAGAACTTGCCCCCTGGGGGCAGCTATTTGAAAAGTTCTAGCAACAAACCCACCTTGCAGACATTCCCCCATCCTTGTCCAGGGCTTGGGGAGGAAGAAACCCACACCTGATTTCAACAAAGAGTTAAGACTCCTAAAGCAGTTTTTTTAAAAAACACAAGGTTGTTCCTTTTTTTAAGTCAAATTACTATTCCAGTTGCCATGCTACTGGGGGATGCAAAAGGCATTTTTTTAGACACACAATTACAATCTACCCCTGTGGGCCAATGAGAGCCCAGCCTTCGAATAAACAAGTTTCTCACTGTTAACACAGGGTTCGAAGGCAGGCAGGCCGGAGGTGTGCTGCAGGGTACCCAGACTTCTGATCTCTCAATTCTTCAAGGCAAAGAGTATTTCCCAGACCTCCCCTCTAAATCTTACAATTTTCCCAATGAGGCAGGAACATGAAAAAAAGATATAGGTTAAATTACAAAGCAGGAAAATATGCCCAGGCAAGAAGCTAAAAACCTGGTCTTAAAACATTTAACCTAGAAGCATTTATCCCAATAATTAAGACTGGGGTCTCCACACTTCCACCCCATGAATGTTTCCTCTCTGTAACAGACAGGGCTTGCTATCACCTGTGACCAGTTATCCCCCACCACAAAAGTGGAAAGAAGAAGGATTATTTAAAGGACACGAGGCTGAGAGTTGAGGGTTGGAGAGAAAAGTGAATAAAGCAGGTTCCTCTGCTAGGAGGGTCTATCATCCAGAACTTTCTTCCCCTCTGGGCTGGAACTTGGGATGAACAGAGAGCAGATCGCTTCAGATCTTCCCCTTGCAAGCTAAGCCAAAGGAAGAAATGAAGCTCTGCTTTTATAGATGCAAATCATGCGAGGTGCTAGAGCTTTCCAAAACATTCAGGCTGCGACTGAAGTGACAGGAATCTGAGCAATTGCTCTAGATGCAATTCCATCAGACTGGTTCCACGGGAAGAAATGGGTGCATCACCAACTGATATGGATGGAATTTTCCATGTGGAAGACTCAAAGCCAGGACAGGAAGAAGGAAGCTGAGGAAGAGAGAATGTCCCATCTGTGTTCCACGGTCTGGCACTGCAATGAGGCAAAAGACAAGTCCAGGCCGGGCGTGGTGGCTCACATCTGTAATCCTAGCACTCTAGGAGGCCGAGGCAGGCGGATGGCTCGAGGTCAGGAGCTCGAAACCAGCCTGAGCAAGAGCAAGACCCCGTCTCTACTAAAAATAGAAAGAAATTAATTGACCAACTAAAAATATATACACAAAAAATTAGCCGAGCATGGTGGCGCATGCCTGTAGTCCCAGCTACTCAGGAGGCTGAGGCAGGAGGATCGCTTGAGCCCAAGAGATTGAGGTTGCTGTGAGCGAGGCTGATGCCAAGGCACTCACTCTAGCCTGGGCAACAGAGTGAGACTCTAAAAAAAAAAAAAAAAAAAAAGACAAGTCCAAAAAAGCAGCCTCAGGCCTGGAACCCGAACCCCAGCGTAAGATGGAGATGTGTTTGGGAGACTTCCACGTTGGTTGGGGAAGAGGATTCAGGATGGGAGCTAGGGAGAAAGGAAGATTATGCCCCAGAATTAAATTATGAGCTTGGAGGCCTCACACTTAACTAATCCCAGCAGAGAGAAGAAAGGAAGGTAATTAGGGTTTAAATCACAATACTAACACATTTAACATTCTAATACTGAGCCCGTCAACAATTTCATTTACACAGCAAAAGCCTATGACCAAAAAAAAAAAAAAAAAATCACCAAAGAAACAACTGACATGTTGTCACAAAAGGTTTTCATCAGAAGAAATTTAAATTCCTGCTAAATTTAAACACTTCACTTATATGCAATAATACAACAGCGATTTATTGGAGGTGATTTTAGCACTAATACTTTCTACTGCAATTTAAGAGGAAAACATTCTCAACTCAGGAACGCCACACTCTGCCTGGAACATACACAGGTCATCCAACTGGATGCTGTTGATGGGTTCTTGCTTGGAGTGATTGGAAATAAATTTGAACAAAATGCCCCATCCAGCCCTCAGAGATGGGTAGATGGTTAACTTCAAAAGAACAAATAGCAACCTTGATCTTTCTAGCAACTCGAATTCTGTTTCCCTCTTTAGCATAAAGTATGTGAAATCCTAAACTTTTTGAAACCAATCCCATATTTTCAGTGGTAGAAAAAATGCTAATCTGTGATCCAACCAAAACGTACAGTGGTGAAGGAAACAATTATGCATAACCGAGCCAAAAAAACCCACTTGAAGGATTTCTGCAGCGATGAAAACATTCAAAGGTGTATTGATCTTGGGGGAAGGCTGCATTCAGGAGAACAATTATTTGGCTTGTAACAGCCTAGAGGAGCTGAATACTTCAGGCAGGAATGCTGAGAGGCGAAGAAAATGCAAACTAGTTATGTGGTGGCTTATTTGCTGCTGAGTTTAAGATAATTCTGGAGAAGAGAGAGGGAGGAAAAAGTTAAGCTGTTTTATCTTTCCAAGTATTATACAAGTGGGCACCATTATCACCTAACTTTAGCAATAGCACCACCACTTTATAGCCCAGGATTTTAAGCACAACAATTTAAGAAAACCATCTTTTTCACAGATCAGCAAGCCATCCTTTCAAAAGGAACCCGTGCACCTACATGCATGCATGCAGCCACATGCGTGCACACACACAATCTTGTATTTGACTAAAGGAAACTGCAGCGTCTATGCATTAGAAGAAGATGGGGGAAAAAAAAAACTTCGTTTACAAAAGCAAAGACCAGAATGCAAAATTAGTCATTCTGAATAGCCACATCTAAAGGGACTTCCTTTTTTCTATACCACTAATCTCTCTCTCTCTCTCTCTCTCTCTGCCCACCCCCCCCTCCTTTTTCTGGTTTAGTGTTAAGAACTAGTATGTTATTGGGGGAAAAAACTATGAATATTACATCAAAAGTGGTAGCGACAAAAGATTTGTACCTGTCTGAACGTCCCACAAATCTTGGGCAATTTAGATTAAGAACTATTCAGTCACTTAGGAGAGAATAAAAAAGTCAAATAATAATTCTTAAAAAGAAAAAGCAAATGCATCTGCAAAAAATACTTTGAACTTCTATCATTAACACATTAAGGTCTTAGAAAATAGACAGGTTCTCTCCTTCCATATGTACTAGCTTCCAGCATCCCTGATAGTTTAAATCAAAAACAATGAGACAAACAAGCCCTTGTTTCAAACTGTTACTTTTTTTTTTCTTTAAAGGTCTGTTGAGAAGACTAGACTCCCCTCCCCCCTAAAGAAATGGGTAAAAATTAGCTGAAAACCAAACAACAGCCTCTCGCCCCAAGAGGAAAATACAGTATCAACTAGTTACATACATTGTATACACTACCACCACCACTTACACTCACATGTACCCAAGTCACTTGCCTGTGGATTTCACAAACTGACACATTTCAGGCAATTTGAAGAAGAAATAACAGTGCCTGCAAACACAACCAAGACCATCCCATCTAGTAGCAAAAAGAATGAAGATTTCTCCCCCAGTGCATGACCAAGAAAGCTTATGCTTACTTCTTATCCTGCATGCACTGAAAAAAGAGCAATTAAAAGTTGCAGATGAACTGCTGCACCTCCAGGATGCTTTAAGCCTTCTGATTATTAATTCTGAGGACTCAAGGCTGGTCCGTAATTCCCAGGAATCTCATCCCCAACACTTGTAAAAGAGAGAGAGAGAGAAAAAAAAGAGAAAGCATCTAGTTTAAGAAAAATGCCTGGATGCACAATGCCCAGATATTTCTATTCCCCAAGTGCCCCATGCCCCTACTGACTTCTAACGAAGAATATCTAAACCCATCTAGAATATATAACCAACATGCACAAGACTCTGGTTCTCGAGATGAGGATCATTTCACAGCAATTCAAGAATCATGCATCATTCGAAAGGACTTTTTCTGGTTTTTACTTTCATTCAAAATACCAGAATGATCCAGGCTATAAGAAATACTTAACCCCAAGGCATAACATCTTCCTCTTCCAGATAACAAAATAGTTAACATCAAAATAAAAAACCATGCTTCCCTAAATCTGCAATTAATTTTTTAAGAAATTTGGGAGGGGGGGAGGGAATGGTTAGCAGAGCAGCTTTATATAAGCACTCACCTAAAACAGGCAGAGTCATCGGTAGCTAAGCTATTTATGCAGGATTCTTAAAATGGCGTCTGGCAACACTGCCTCATTCCTGTATTGAAGCTAAAATGGTAGCAGTTTGTTCAATAGCTGTAGCTCTTGTTTAAGCAGCCCTGCTAGTTTCAAAGCCACCTTCCTAAATATCAGAACTAGGAAAAGCTCAACCAAGGGATACCAACAACCCAACGTTTAGAAGCTTAAAAAAAAAATCTGCAATGACAAGGAGAGTTTGTGAAGTCACAGGTTCCAAGGAAAAGCCTCTTCCCTTTTAGATCCGAGCCTTCCACATGAGGCTCTGTGATGAGGCCTCAATGCCCTCAAATTAGGTGGGTAGAAGGTTAGGAATTCTGCAGCCCCGTGGCATAAAATGCAGACAGACAGGTGTCTGTGCAAACACAAAAATGTTCCAAGGGAGCAGGCTGGGGTGGTGTGGGGGGTGGAGAGGAAGCCTGTTCCCCCTTCTCGGTCTTATTAGAAACCAGCTTTGCATCCATACCAAAAAACAAGCTAGGTAAAATGAAAGTGCTTCAAGAACAGCAGGCATCTGAAAAGCCAAGCTAAAGGGCTGCACCTCAGTCTGAGGCCAAGGTAAAATAAAAGGGCTGTTTATAAGCCTGAAAACAGCCACCAAACACCCAGCCCTCTGAAGCAGCCAGTCCTAAGACAGTTAACATCAAGGAAAGACAATCCCAGCCTGCAGAGGAGAAAACACAAGTGAAACATTCCCCTATCCAATGCACAGGATACTCACAAATTAGATTTTTGTCCACTCCCAACAGAACCCTGAGAATTAACAATGGGTTTCGCAAAACCCACTTTAGAGGCCAAACTAACAGCCTCATGGTGAATAATGTAATTTACTGTTACAGGTCTGAGAACTGGCCTCAGAACTCCTCTGGTGCTGGGAGTGGGGAGTTTTTCAAGGTGACTGCTTTTTAGCTTCAGGGGAGAAAAGAGGGCACAGTGCCCAAGGCCATGCCAGGGCAAGGACCGGCTACTGGCCCTGTGCCGGCCCGTAGGTAGGCAATCGTGAGGAGGGTGAGGGGTGGCAGCCACTGGCTGTGGAGCTGGCGTGGCCACTGCCTGTTTGTCTGCAAGGAGAGCGGGAGGGGGAAGGGCAACCACAGTCTCAGCAACCTGAAGCCAAGGGTGAGTCCTCACTCATTTTTGCATTTTAACAGCAACCAAAGGGCCTCTAAAATTATTCCCTTTTTAAATCTCTGCTGTGGGGTGGCGAAGGCCCCTATGAATGTATCTTTCTTTTCAGGGTCAGCTAGAGGCAAAGCTAGATCTAGGGCTCCCAGGCTGACAAATGTCTGTTGCCTCTGCCACAGGAGAGAGAAGGGGAAAGAAGGCAAAAGAAACAAAGAGATCACATATTGGAAGTGGCTGGACTTTTAAAGACCTACCTTTGCCTTCAGGGTTTTCTAGGGGACTGTCACCCCGCAAGTGTTTTCCCCTTCCCCTATTTAAGACCTGATGCAGTTTCCCCACCATTTCTCCCAGGGAAAGAAAAGGGGGAATGTTTTGTTTAAAAGAAAAGGGGTTACAAGAAAGAAAGGAAAAAAAGCTATTGTTTTCATCCCTAATTTATAATCCAAGAGGCCCCATTGTTTCTTTCTTTCTGACTCAAATCTTTGAGCTGTTAATTATAAAAGTAACTGGACTTGGCTCCAGCGGGCTAACTATGTTCATGCTCAGCAATTAGAAAAACTCTGTAGAAAGTTTACGGAGTGATTATATATAATTAATTCCTAGTTACAGACTGAACACTGACCACTTTCTGGAGCTAATAAAAGCAGTTACTCCCCCTCCCCCACGTGAACGCCACTTAATTTCCCAAAGCAGAAAGTGAATCCATCCTGGAGGGTCTTGAAGGAAAAAAAAAAAAAAAAGAGGAATCAAAAGCTCCAGTGTGTCTGTGTTTGTTCCTTGCAGCTGTGCATCCTCTTTGGGGACTCAGGCGGCAGAAGGAAAAAGGAAAACAGCCCAATGTTCTGTTCCCCCCTGTGCAATTTACAAATGTGGCAGAAGAGAACATTCTACCTTGATGAGAAAAAGAAAGGGGGGAGGGGAGATGCCCTAGGAACAGAATGTAGGAGACTCTTCAGCTTGGCAGATCTGCTTTTCCTAAAAGGAACAAAGATGGTAGAAATTTCCAGAAGGCCCATTCTCAGTTCAGCCACTGCAATTGTCAATCTTTAACCTTTCATCCAAGTCTATTGGTTCAAAAGCTACACAGAGGAGACCCATTGGGCTGCTCTGTGAGCCAGCACTGCTGTTGTCCCCTACCTAGTTCTGCTGCAATGCAGACATTTATTTCCCCTCCTTTAGTGAAACTGGACAATAATGCTACTTTGAGACCAATTAACTTTTTACAGACCCATGTTTGGTGGTGGCCACAGTACCAGAGGAAAAGTGGCTAGCTTGGTCCAGGGCAGGGAACTTGCTGGGGCTACACATTGGAAAACAGAACTTGGCTTTCCAAACCTGTGGGAGCCATTTTAATGAAAGCTTTTAGAGGACAAATGCCTTGCCCTTAAGTTCCCTTCCAGCCCAACAAACACAGTATTATGCAAACGTTGAAGGCACCAAACCAGGAGTCTTGTGATTAGATATTGCTTCTAGGAAGGCCACAAGAACCTCAATATATAATTTCCATTTACCGAAAGGAGATAAGAACAAAGAAATAGTTGAGTATCCGAACTTATTTGTGTGGGGTAGAGGCACTGTTTAGTTTTCAGTATATAACATCATTAACTGCCTGCACTTTTACTCCAAGAAGCTGGCCTGCCTTACACAGACTTTTCTCAACTTAGAATTCGGTACATTCCTCCTGATTAAACGAGCCTTTTTCCAAGTGGTCTCAAAAGGTGGGTTGCTGGACACTACTTTAAAAGAAAACAGATTACTGATTCCACAAAGTTGGCATAACACAGCAACTGAACATATTTCCAGCTTTTACAGTCATGCCGGATTGGTCTCCAAGCTGGAAATTTATGTAGTGAACTTCCAGGGAAATTCTGAAGGTAATGCTAAACAAGAGTCTACTTTTTCCACTTTTAAATTCTAGCTATAGCATTCAGACATCAGGGGAAATGTAAAAAAGTGAGGAATAAATCATACGTAAGGCTAGCGTGCATACAGGTGTGTGGGTCAGGCTTGGAAAAAGGCTGCATCTGTTGGTCAGTGAGTCCTAAATCAAACCAGAGTTTGGTGGTAGATGAGGCTTCATGCTATATCCTAAAACATAAGTACTGACACCACCACCCCCAACACACACCACCACCACCAGCTCCTCCCCCACCAATGCTTCTAGGGCTCTGTGCCTCTAAGAACAAGCAGTTTCATTACATTTCACAGGCAGATCACCTACCCACAGTTCCAATAACCAGACAAACCCCATTAAAGGTCCAGAGTCAAGTCACAATGAACTGAACATTTCTCCCCTGGCTGAGGGTAAACAGGAAGTGTAATCTTCAATCCTAGCTGCAGGTTATCAGGAAAAACAGTGGATTCAAACAGTCACCTAAAATCAAGACACTCTTTTAAAAGCCCTTATTTTGTTCCTGCAAAAGAAGCCCCCAACTGCTGTAGCAGAGACCCCCTATTACAAACAGACCCCAAATGTTCGCAAAACTCTTTCTGCATGGTCACAGAGGAAATGGATTGCTTTACTTACCCAACAAAATGTTCAAGCAACCGTCTCATTTTTCCACAGTTAGGAAGAGAGAACAGGCTGGCAGATTTGGGACTTGATCAAAAAGGAAATTTTTTTTAAAACAGTTACATGGAATTATTAAAAACACACAGAACAACAACACCACAACCCAACAACTCACTATGGAATGCTGTCATGAGCCACAGCCATGATTTTATTTCCTCTGCACTCTGTCACACAGGACAGAGGATACAATGTAAAAAGGGGGGGGGTGGTAAGAAAATGAAAACAAGGATAAAAGATAACATAAGTTCATTGAAATCATGCAAGAGTAGAAAGCTGAGGGATTCAAAGAGTCCTCAGATTTTTGTTTGCAGGATGTTGTCCAAGATCTCTCCCCCACCACCACCACCCCTTAATCCCCATCCCTACTCCAAAAACTTCCTCCAAAGCCTAGAAAACACTTTCAGAAACATCTGCTGGCTGTAGGCTGGCTTGCAGAAGAACACTCTGTATCAGCCCAAGTCAGGAAAAAGGCTGAACAATGTAGTTTCAAGTGAAGAAGCCCTGCAGGATGAGAAAAGACCATGTACACGCACCACCACCCACCTAGGCCCAGGAGCCAGACTCTCCCCTTAGCATGCTCTGCTGAGGGCTGGGTTCTTTTGCAAACACACGTCCTCTCTTGTCAGAACTTAGTCCAGACTTCCCAGAACCTCTCTGGAGAGGCCGACTTGCCTGCTCTGCTGTCTGCCATGAGCTCTCCTTGGGGAGGAGCCTGCCTGCTCCTTACCTTCCATTTTCTTCCCCCAGCAGGCATGTGGCACAAGAGAAGACAATAGTGCAGGGAAGGGGGAGACTGCTCAGAGAGAGAGAGAGAGAGAGAGAAGAAGAGAGAGGGAAGGGGGGAAAAAAAGGAGAAAGAGGGGGGAAAAAAGCTTCTTTTTTGGCATACCAGGATCTAGCTTCAAACTATTCCAGAAAACACCATGCCCTGGTGGAAGAAAAGGTGTGCCAGGCCCTTGCCAGTTTGCAAAATCAAGCTATGGCTAATGGCTACTTAGCCATGTGACCCAAGAAAGCAAAAAATTCTCTCTAAACAGTTCCAAGTTAACATAAGTGCTCTGGGGGTGAGTGTGGCACGGCCAGCCGCAGAGAAATCACACTGCTCGCCCACAATTCGGATGTCTCAGAGGGAGGGGGGAAAAAGATGGTTAAAAAGTCGAGCTTACCTCTGTGGATGCATTGTTAACACTGTGTAATGTCAATACTTATAAAACATGGAGGACAGGCTCCTAGTTCTCACAGAAAAAGGGTTTGGCACTTCGGCTGATGATCTGGCCGCCTAATAAAAGCTCATCCCCGATTGGCTGCCCCGGCAAATCCGAGTGTAAAGCCGCCCCGGATTGGCTGAAACACTTCCTGAGCGATTATCTTTGTGAGGCTCGGGTGAGCAAGAGCCATCCTGTGCATAGAAAAAGACAGGCTAAGCTAGGCCTTTTGCAGCAAGAAAAACTTGGGAAAAGGGCCCCCGCACGCACTTCTCCCACACCCTGGCTAGATTTCCCGGCACGGGCAAACCAGTGCAGCCAGCCTGACCTGCTCCAGCAAAGCCTGAGGCCCGGACAGCCCTGGGAAGAGGGTTTCTGGGGTGGGCTGCAGGGCTCGCCCTCGCCTGCCCCCGCAGAAGCGGCCCCTTTCTCGGGAGGAAGGCTCGCCCTCTTCCAGAGCAGCCAGCAGCGTGGCTGCCCAAGGGGAAGGGCAGGCTGGGGCGCGGGAGCCCAGGGAGGAGGCCAGGGGGCGAGCAGCAGGGCCTGGGGCAGGCCTCTGAGGAGCTGGGCTTCCCCACCGGCGCAGGAGGCCCCAGCAGCGCCGCACACAGCAGCCTGGCTCCCCCAGCCAGGAGGAGTCGCGCGGCTCAGGGGAGGAGGGGAGCAGAGTGGTCAAGTTTGCATAGTCATTGTCAAAATGCCTCCTGGAAAAGCAGGCCAGGGAGCCATCAGCCTCTCGCCCCCCTCGGGCAGTCCTCAAAGGAAAACCAAAACGGGTTCCTGCCTCCCTGCCAAGATGCCAAGGGGGGCCCCTCTCGGTCCTTACCCTAAGAAAGGCCAAATGCGCTCCTAGCAGGCCACATGCCTGGATCTACCAACTTCCCGGCCCCTCCCCCACCGCGAGGCCTGCTAAACCTGTCAGTTAAACAAAAATCTGACTTCCGTATTAGTCTGCGATGCCTTCGGCTTCCTGCCTGTTAACCCTCTCTCGGACTCGGGGCCGGCTGGGAAAAAACTAGGCCCTGAGATCGCAGAAAAGGCCTGTGGAAAAATACCAGCTGCAGCTCTCCCGGCAGATGCAGAAAGAGAGAGAGGAGCCGCTGTCTCTCGCCTTTGCTTCCCAAGGAGGCGTGTACCTTCTGAATCCAGGGCACAGGCAGTGCCTCTCGGGCTGGGGAGCCATTGAAATCCGGAGGGAGGGAGAGACAGGGCCCGCTGGGCGAGGGAACAAGAAGCCCCATTATTAGTCAGGCCTACACCCGCAGGTTAGCCTCCCCGCCACAGTCGCCCCGTGTGTGCTTGGGGAACCGGCCCTCCGCGGGGGGCAGGCAAATCCCACGAGCCTCACGAGGCTTCCTGCTTCCATTCCTTCCCACGGAGGACGGCTCCCTGTCGTCCCCTAAGGCAGATGGAACAGCTATTTCACACACAGCTACGCCTGGCACCCGCTCCCCTCGGGCCCCCATCTCTGGCGCTGCTCCCCAGTAAAATATTAACTAGTTGTTCGGAGCTGCTTATAATTCTACCCATTTCCATAGTATTAGGAGGTCTTTGCCTGTTTCCTCCCTAAAGCTGCCTTTGTAGTTGGTCTGTGCCCAGAGAAAGAAAAGGCAAATCGAAAAGAACCTTAAAATGTCCAAGCTTGCTTTCTTTCCTCCTCCTTTTTTTAAAAGACAATGTGCTTTAATTAATGAGATTTCTTAAAACAGCAAGCTGGAACAACAGACGCTAAATAAACACCATTCTTCAGAGGCTGCAGAAGGCTTGCAGAGCTGACGAGGCCATATGCCAGGAGGGAAAACTATGGAGCAATAAAGTCTCCCCTCTCCTCCTAAAATTAGGACTTGTGGGCTTTCGTGTCCCACACTGTTCCCACAAAGAAAACAAGGAGCTGATGGCTTGTCCTCCCTGCAACCCCCTCTCCCCCACGGACAACAGATGCCCACTGCGTGTACATAAATTCCTCCTGGCTGGGAATCTTACATCAAACAGACTCAGGACAGAGCCAGGAATCCAAACACGCCACGCTGCAAGGGCAGGGCCCTGACTTTATAGCTGTTGTTAGGGCTGCCCAGGCAAGATGCAGGGAGGGACAACTCCATGGCCACCCGGCCAGACAAAGGCCCTGCAGTCAGGACAACAGGCCTGGGCCTAACCAGAAGGGAGGGGCCTGCCTTTCCTGGGGGTGGAAACCTGTACAGGGAGACCACATGGGGGGACAAGGGACAGAGGCCACAGCTGACCAGCCTGTGTCCCCCCCCCAGCTGTGTGGGCACCGGACCATATGGATACTGTTTGTTTCCGAGGATGTTGCTTTGGGGAGAACAAGCAGGACTGTGGGGCTGGTGGGGCGGATCTCGCGTGCAGTTCGCTCCACAACCTGATGAGGAAATGAAATATGCCGCCGGTGCTCGGTAGATTTAAACCTGGGATTAAAGCTTGTTGCATAAGCAGCTGCAGCATCCTCCCCTCCCTCCCTTCCTCCCTCTGATCACTTGATCACTAGAAATGTTTTCTGGGGCAAAGAGCAGGAAGCCGCTGGCTTATTCTGGCAGCTCTGCTCTGTTTGAGGAATGCTACTGGCATTCGGGTAGGTCTGGGGTTATCTGGAAAATGGCAATTCGGCTGGGGACAGAGACAAAAGTATGGCGGCAGATGGAACCCTGGGAGGAACACAGATTTTAAAGGAAGCCTGGGGCAGGCCTACTAACGGCCCCTGGGCTTGATGGAATGTGGCAGATAAGCAGGAAATAAAGAAAACAGAATGTTGCAGGCCTCCACCTAGAGATCCGTTCAGTGGCTCTTCTCAAAGCCCCACAGCAATGAGCAGTCCCAGCAGCTACTACCAAATCAGTGCTTTATGGAGACTGATTCCATGAGGTAGGGAGTATTGTTAGAAACCTGGAAAGAGGCCCAGAGACGTGAAGTGAGCTGCCCAAGGTCACACAGCTGGCAAGTGCCAGAGATCACACTTTTCCAATGCAGTTATGACTTCATATCCCTAAACTTTGTACCTTCACCTGCCTCTAAAGAAACAAAAACAAAGCAGAACACAGAAACAATGAACACAGCAGAAACAATGAGGCTAAAATCTACAAACAGCAACTGTGTGGCCTGTGTCCTCTTTTAGGAGGTTGACCCTTTTGAGACGGGTTCTAAGCCCAGCATGATGGAGCTGGGAGACTTCTGGATTAGACTCATTCAAGCCCCTTCATTACAGACTGAGGCCGAGAAGGTTCCTCTCTGCCTGCACACCTCCAACAAGGTGTCAAGGCAAGCACTTTGCCATCCCTAAAATTAGGCTTTTATATTCCTTGAAACCAGGGGCTCTTAACCAGAGGTGAGTTTGCCCCCCACCAGGGGACCTTGAGCAGTGCCTGGAGACTTTTGCATTGTCACAACTGGACGATCCACGCTATTGGCATCTACCGGGTGAAGACCAGGGTCGCTGCAAAACATCCCACATGCAAAGGACAGCCCCCCACAGCAAGGAACCATCCAGTGCAAAATGTCTGGAGTGCCAAGGTTGGGAAATCCCAGCTTACATGAAAGGGAAGGAAAAAACTCAATCGTTGTACCTCTGGATAGAAAAGCCAACACAGGTCTAAACAAGCAGGTTCCTTGGTGATATTAATAAGCAATGAGCTAATAAAAATAGATTAAAACGTGTCTCTGTTAATATTCCCAGGGGTTGGGAAGAATCGGGGGACACAGTCAAGCAGTAGGAAGCCAGGCA